TGAAGTCTGTTACTGCTTCCATTTCTACCCCTTCTATTTGCCAGGAATTGATGGGTCCAGATGCCATGATCTTAGTTTTTTTTTAATGTTTTCATCTTTGCTGGTTTATATTCTGAATCCAAACTTTGCATAGTCAGATTTGATAGTTAAAACCAGCTTTTAGATACATGAGGTGGAGATAATGCAGAAAGTGCAGACCTGCTTGCATTTTACCTTCTTTGCACATGAAGACAATGGGTTCACCTTTGTACATTTGGTGAAGATGAACTTAGAAGCTGCTCAGAAGCATTCGTGGATAGCAAAGGGAAAAAAAGGCAGTAATGGCCCATTGGCACCTGTGCTTAATTACTTGGTTATGTATCATCAACTCATGAAGATTCAAGTACAAAGCCGTTCAGGCTTACATGAGCAGTGGCAGAAGGGGAATGCTCATTTAGTTGCAGGTTCTTTCAGGAGTGAAGAATAGGCAGTGACATCTGTATTTTCCACTCACACTGCACTTCAGAAGATGCTTATTGAAATGTTGTGCTTGAAGGGGATTTTCAGCCATATTTCATTTCCTTCATGATCTGATCCTCCTTGAAAAAGGATGTGGGGGGAAACTCTCCAGAGCATGTCCCTAGAGATAGCAGAGTGTTTGGCTAACATTGGTTGTGTTTTTAATGAGACGACAGTGGCAAGATATCTCTAGATATTTGCAGAGAAGTGGCAGTTGTAGAAATTATTATGCCAGTGCTAAGCACATAGGGCAGCCTTTGAAGAATAAATTAATATGGTGGCAGTCTATTCCTTGACTACTTTGTTTTATTCTGGGTAATTGTTATATGGGAAAGAGGCAGATATCAAGGCTAGAGGAATTTGTACATGTGCGTGTGTTGCTTCCCTGTTTTACAGTAATTAAGAAATACATATTTACAGCAGGATGGAGATATTTCCCTTTCTTTAACAGGAAATTAACAAAGTTAGATTTCATGAATCTTTTTTATTATTTTATATATTAAAACTCTATTTTAAGGACAGTGTTGGCTCATAATAATGAGATCTGCAGGTTTCTTCAGAACAGGTCTGTGAAAAATGGAGAAGAAAGCAAAACTATGCAGTTGCATGCACGTCGAGACAGCTGAGAGTGGCTTCTGCAACATCTGGGCAAGGCTTGCAAAAGACATAGCTGCTTTAATGATCCAAAATAACAATCTTGTTCATGCTCCTGTGCAGTGTGGTACACCTCGGTGAAAGGGTTTGCAATTGTACTGATTCTATATAAAGTTCAATCAGATGTAGGTGATTTCATCACCTTCCAGGGCAGAGGGATTAAAATATGTTCATGAGAAATGAAAACTGCCTCAAAAGGCAGGAACAGCCCCTTTTAACCTTCCAACATGATGCCATTGAGAAATGCACAAGTGTGATCTTCAAATTGGAAGATAGTGTTTAAATCAAGTTAGGTATCTTTGGCCAAGAATGAGCAATAGGTAGAGAAATCAGCGCTAAGGATACATCTCTGTATGATTTTCAGATCAACAAGGCTTTAAACAACAATGTTTAACATTGGTGGTTCTTTCATTCTTACAGGGATTGCAGCAAAAGAGCCGCTACTATTCAGGTGTGTTGGAAATAGTTTCACCTGATCTCTTGATCCCATATTGTGTCAGGGAGGATCTACTTGGCATGCTTCCCCCAAGATTTGCCTTCCTGTTAGAAGGGTGGGGCTCTATGTGTCCCCATCAGCTGCCTCATCTTTCATAGAATTCAAAATACTGTGGGAAAGCATATCCAGTATTTTTCTCTCTGTTGGCAGTTTTATTCTCTAGTATGTTATTATGGTGAGCTAGTTTGGTCTAGTGGTTAAGGCAGCAGGCTAGAAACTGGGAGACTGTGAGTTCTAATCCCGCCTTAGGCACAAAGCTAGCTGGGTGACCTTGAGCCAGTCATTCCCTCTCAGCCCTAAGAAGAAGAAAATGGCAAACCACTTCTGAAAAACCTTGCCAAGAAAACTGCAGGGTCTTGACCAGCAGTCACCAGGAGTCAAAAAGTGACTCAGGTACAAAACAACCGAACAAAAAGGATTATTATGTGGAAGGACTTAGTCTTAAAGCAAAAAATCTCCAAATTAAACAGACAAATTAAAAAGTACTTCAAATCAAAATAATTCTATGCAGGCCTTGAGCAATAACATGCTT